ATTAGTCCGTACAAATGATATTCCAGAAGGATTTGATTTATAATATATTTTTTACAGCCAAACAATACACGTTAGATGTGCGTGCATCGATTATCTAGCCTTTTGAGTATCTTTATATAGACATGATTTATAAGTGTTTTATCCATTCGCTGATCTTAATACCGTAATGGTAAAATAAAAAATTGTCTTATACGTTTCGATTATATTATAAAAGAGCACCTACCTAAGTACTACCCATATATGGCTATACATGTCTACCTAATTATATTATAATATTCAATTATAATTTTTGTAGCCAAGTAAAGTTGAAATGATAAACACGATGTGCGAATTAATCGTTCGTCGTACTATAATAATATAATATCATTTTAATAGTATTATTTCATTGCGGTGATTACGAAAGTCAAACAATGGTCGACTATTATTGAAAATGTTTAAATTATACGTAATACATACATGTGAGTAGAAATCAAACGCAGATACATAAAATTATAAACCTAACCTCTAACTGCAGTAACCGCAATTCGTTAGCGGCGTGTGAAATGTATAAGCATAATATTTATTACCGTCGACATTTCAAGGGATAATTATAATATATTAATATGATCAAAATGTTTAATCCAAAGAAAACTTCTCAGATCGTCTTAATACATGTAGTTTGCGATATTTCCAGTGAAGTGTAATAAGTAATAACACTCGTTCAATGTATATATTCTTATAATATACTAATTATTAAGTATTTTATATACGATCGGACGAGAACAATTTATGCTAATTGTGCGTCTGATATGTGTATTGGTTGGGTACCTATACTACACGAAATATAAGTATAGGTATCCAAAACGTCGAAATATCGTAAAATATAATATTATACAAAGTATAAAATATTGGAAAAATATTCTAATCGGATTTCGTATCGGCGTACGAGCGCAATAAAAAAAACAAAGTTTAAAAAAATGGGACATTTCAATAAAATGTTATGATATATGTTATATGTCTGTGCTATGTATATGTATTATATATGGATACCGCGTGCCAACAAAAAAAGTCAAAAACACACCAGTTTGTAAAAGAAAAATTGTCTAAATTACAGCGTTGTTTGAAAATATGTTCTTACAATTGCGTGTGTAGTGCGCTCTGCAGCGTGCGCATGCTCTAGATATTTCCAAACAATTTATTATATATTATTTTATTTGAAAGAGTATAATATGAACCATTGTATACAATAATATATAAATTATAGGTAGGTATATACAGCATAATATTTTGACAAAAAACATTCGTTACTCCAAAATCGTTATTTTTGGAACATTTTTTGGTACATAATTTTAAGTAAAAATACTTTTGAAAATATTTTTATAGTTATAAGTTTTTGAATTATTTTAGTTTTTCGAATCACAAAAACCTTTTAAAATTTTATATTCCGAAGCGGGGAATATTTTTTGGATTATTTCGAAGTTTAAAAATCGAATTAGTTAATTTGGTAAGTATATTTAAAGTTCAAATGAGCAGAGTGGATGGCTAAGTGGTAACCCACCCCCCTCCCACCCTACTCTGGTTCCCACAATTTCTACTCCGTTTTTTTTAATTGTTATTCAAAAGATATTAATCTATGAGTTATATGACGACATAAAATGTACGATAAGCATAATATGTTTAGAGTAATGTTGACTGCTATTTACATGTGAAAGAAGTCACTGATTAACGACACTTCCAACATGGAAGGAAAAATATTTTTATATAGATGTATGTATTGTATTTTCATAAAATTAACTGCTCTTTCAAAATTCGATTTTTATACATATAAATATTCTACTTTGAAATTTGAAATCAAAAAAGGAATGTTGTCTTACGAAAAAGTAAAAATATTTTTCATATATATAACTTTTTATTAATGTTGTTCATTAATTCCCTAAAATGATGCAAGACAAATATTTTCAAAAATGTAAGTTTTCGAGGCAATGAGTGTTGACAGTTAAAATATGAGTTGTAATGTGATTATTATTATTATTAATTTTTAGCATGGGAAAAGGAGACACTTATCTTACATAGAATATTTTTTGTTCATCACTTAAATTACCACTCGCCCGAGGTTTTTGATAGATGGTTTTAAATTAAGACTTAAGAGGATGCCCATGCATTTGTTGTCTCCGTCTTACACACGTAAGACATGGCACTAGTTTCAATAGTGTGCTGTTAGTTTTGATATTACAGTGATTTTACCTATTATACATTTTTTGGTTGATAACATTATCTGTGGTTAACCATTGGCTTTTATTCGATATTTTAATTTTCAAGCTAGATATGAGCATTTTTATTTTTTGATACTTCACATACCCATATCTTGCTTGCAAATAAAAATTTTGAAAAATTGGCAACGCTTAAGCACAGATAATGTTCTTACATAAAAGTTTTATAATAGGTCAATTCACTCTAGTATCAAAACTAACAGCACACTGTTGAAACTAGTGAACCACAATTTGGTATATCGTGCGTGTGTAAGACGGAGACAACAAATGTATGGGTAGCGTCCTCTTAAGAGTCCAGGATCGTCTTCAGGTTGACCCCACGAAGAGGAGTTAAATAAATCTCGAACTCGCTAAAAAGATTTAAACATAAAAAATTTACTTATATTGGCGGCAATAGGGAACAACACACGTGTAAGAGTGGGCGATTGCCACTTTCACCCCGTCTCTGCAGGGACGCGCCTACTTGAGGTTTGAAATAAACAAAACATTAAGGTTTTCTATTGGTAAAATAATATAATAATAAATAATAAAAATACCATGATCATATTATTATACACAAACTAAATTTATCCTCGATACACAAGAAGATTAAACGATTCTTTTCATTGTCGATTCTTTGTCGTCGTTGACGGGAATAAGTGCTTCGAAAGTGCATTTTAAATATACACATACGCACTATTGGAGTACTGTGGTCTGAAGTGTGTGCGAATGAAAATAGCCATCGGGTGGATCGTTTAAAAAAAAAAAATTAAAATAATTTCCATCGAACACACTCGGCATAATATACTGGTTTTGGAGGGGGAGGCTTCTCCATACAGAGGCACATATAATTAAACCACATGGATCTCGTGTCGTAAAAACGACGACTCGACTAGCGTTTCCGGTTCATAGATATATAAGTGTGCAAGAGTGTTATATATATATTAATCTATAGGTTGTATGGATATGACGTTCCGGTGTATGATGTGTCCTGAACCACCACCATGGTTATTGCCTTATATATCTCATAAAGGTCTATTACTGCAGATCTATCTCTCGTTATTGCAGAAAAAACTGTCGTGCGGTTGGGGGGCGCAGTATTTACTTTTACGGTATAATGTAATATGTCGCCTCAAATTATTCTTATCGCGTAAACGATAACGAGCGTATATTATTGTATGATGATGATATTATCAGCGTTGGTGCAGCGTATATTGTATAATATCAAATACTGAGTGCAAGCACTCCGACTATCTGCACTACGCCGTCGTTTGCATTATTTCGCCGCAAATGGAATTCTCCGGTCCCGAGGAGGGCGGGGGAATAATAAACAACGAAATACCCTAGTGTATATCAGTGAGTCGAGATACTGCATATTATAATATATATATACTTTTTTGTACTCATGCAGCTCCCTATTTTTTTAAACAGAATATGTATATATATAAACATCGTGACATTTGCGTCCTTAATGCTTTATGGCGCACACTCGCTTTTTCGAGTTATTTTCTTTTTTTCTTTTAAGTGCGTATACACGTATATATGTGTGTGTGTGTGTGTGTGTGTGTGTATGTGTGTGTGTGTGTGTGTGTGTGTGTCTGTGTGTATAAATGCGTTAGAGGGAATAACGTAATGGAATACCGTAATGAGCGTTCTCGAGTCGAGTCACAGCAGCGCCGCGTGTCGAAAACGACCGCCCGGAACAGCTGCGTGCCCCACCGCCACCGCCACTGCTTCGTCGACAATGAAAACTTTTCTAAAATATAAGCGCCCCTCAAAAGTCGAAAATTACATTGAATAAAAAAAAAATTCCTTACTCGCTTATCGTTTGAAAACGAAAAAAAAATAGTTATCAAGCGTAGGTATTGCATCGCATATACTTTATATACCTATATGGCTATATGTATATATATATTTCAATGTGTAACGTAAATAATTATAATAATATCGAGAAACAAATAATTCCATTGCACTGCATCCTTCGTTGTGTGTCGACCTTACATCGCGAGTTCATGTGAACTCGACACCAAATTTGAAACAAAAAATTTAAACGACTACAATATAATATATTAATATATATCTGGTATATGTACCTATAGGTATCACAACTTCTAGTGGATAGCAATGGTCGGTTAAACAAATAAATAGATGGATATTGTTTATTCATATGATATTTGTATTGCTAGGTAAATATTAAAATATTTGTCGTATGATAATTTTCTAACTCAATTTCTGCAGTGAAAGATGAAAAAAAAAATGTACATATAATAATATGTAATAGTATTATAACTACATTCAAACTTGGTTATTTCGAACTTTTTTAACTCGAAATCGACAATACCTTGAACTTTTTCGCTGTCCCTGGAATTTCATATTTTTGTATTATCCTCAGATAACTTTTAGGCTAGTCCGTTAAACTTCAAGCTAACCAAGTCCGAGTGTCCGACTGTAAATTATAATATACAGCATTCATTTCATTATTTTCGTAATTTTTTTAATTTGGTATTTTTGTATAGTAATAGTTTTGGTATAAACTATAATAAACATATTATGAAACGGCTATAATAGAACTAAATACTTAAAATCTTAAATAATTTTGAGTAATTTTTATTATATATAATAGACAGCTTTTTAGTTTTTCGTATGACATAATATAAGTCCCTGCAGCGCAGTGAATATGGTTGGAAAGTTTACAACACTCTATAGCTATATCGATGAATTATTTACCAACAGCTCGACATAATATTATAATACTGTATGTGTATATTATACCTATTTGTATCAGTCCGATTTTGTCAGTGTCCTTAACGCTTGATGATAACCATTCCTCGGATAATTTCACACTTTTTCGACGGCATCTGAAAACAGATAAATACATTATTTTATTACTCACACATTGTATACTATAGTAAATACACAATATAAACACGCATAATATATACTTAGAGTGTACCTAATATATTAAATAGTATTTATAGATATAATAATATAGACAAACACACTCAGCGATCATATTATACGCTTCCATAAATTCTGCCCCACTCAAATGAAATGTCATTTAATAAATCGGAAATCTAAGTATATTATTCAAGTACGTGTTTTTTTTTATTTTTGAAATACTCAAAAATCTTCACGCACTAGTCTTTCCAGACCAGAAATCGAATACGCCCGGTTACTTAAACGGGTTTAATTTTCCCAGTGTTTTTTTAAGTGTGATCCGTTCTAAAAAAAAATATCTATAGTATGTGCATGTCGACAGGGGCTCTATTTTCGACATCGATCGACAACAAGTCTTGCGTGGCTTAACTCGATTGATTATGTCGTATATAGTCGACTGCAAAACGCTATTCTCCAAAATCATTCTACTAAAATTAGTTGCATTCGAGATTATGACGACTAGCAATAAGCTAATCCAAGGAATCACCACATTTTGTCGAATGCTATTATATATAGCACTAGACAAAATTTCGAACGTTCGACGTTCGAGAAAAGTCATAAATAATTTCGAGAATCCCATGGACCACAGATGGCAAATAGGATTTGGTCAACGTGTCAATTTATGACACAATTCAAAAAAAAATTTCAGCTGTGTTTGTTATCACAGAGAATTTATTAGAAATGTAAATTAAAAATTAATGATAATAATGTAGAAAAAATTCAACTTTTATTGATTGTTGGAAACATTTTACTTCATATTGCTTGAAAGATTTTCTATGTCTGATTAATATGCTGTTCCTTGCAAGGTATATAAATATAAACACATGAAAGTCTTTCGGGTGCCATCGAAAATGTTCCCCCTTGCCAAGCATGGCACGCTTGTCACTTACTTACCGTCCCTGCCATATACGATGAATCGATCGAGTTCTGTTTTACGTCAAATATACGTACCTTTAATCGTCCTCTCACTGTTATAGGTATAATAATAACTAGGTATGCGCATTTATAAACCGATAAAATCGATTGTTGATTTGTCAACAATATAATTCGTTTTTACAAAAAATAAAATGGCTGGGAATATAATATGAGAACGGAAAATCACATATAATATATAGGTGATTCCCGCGGGCAGCAATGGTGAGAGAAACATAGACAATATTATATAGAGTCACTGCATAATTTTCCGAGATTTCCGAAACGGCTCCATCGCTTCGTATACGCGGATATAATATACCTAATACGTGATGAAAATATATATATATATATATAGATACTGTACATTGGCTGAAGGCAAACCACAGTGAGTCTCCAGGGGAATCCGCGGGAGGGTTCAAAATTTGCATCCAGTAATTGGCTGGGATTCCACGATGTGGCGGCGAGGAAATGACTACGAATTGCAGTCACTCATCCCACGAAAACGTCTCCGAGCTGCAGATAACGAAAGGGCGGTTTCGGAATACTAATACAGTAATATAATATACGTCACGTGCTGCGTGTGTGTTAGCTCTCGCGTAAGTCGGTGGTTTCGCGAGTGCATGCCGAAGTACCCTCTGGGGATAATATCTCTATTATATATGTGCACCACGTGGATATAACGCCGGAACGCTGAGCGGGGTAAATATTACAAGTATACCTATGTATAGGACTTATATATTGTGCGCGCGTGCATCATTATTCGCTTCTCGATCCCCTGCCCGAGGCTGCAGCAGCGTTTTATCGAGCGTGGGTTCGAATATTGGATTTTTCTTTCTGTCACTCAACCCCCTCCCCCCCCCTTGTCGTGTAAAAACCAAAGTCGTTCTCGGCGCAAAGCTCAGCTGCAGCTGCGGCATACTGCAACATCTTAGGGGTCTCAGACCCCGCACGTAATCGAATTATTATAGGTATTTGTAATTGTAATACGACATCCAGGGATTATAAAACCCTATATATATAATATATACGACCGCCGTCTCCTGCAGACAATTCACTTTTTACCTTGCACAACAACTATAAAGGTATACCTGTATAATATGTTAGAATACTTAACGAAAATCGAAAAAACTTGAAACTTATAAGTTATAATATATGCTCTTAGAACATTCGAACTGCACGTGAGTACCGATTACATACCGGCTGTCCCGCTGCTGTGTCTACGATTCAAAAACATCAGTTTTTATAAAACAAAATCTAACTTTATCGGCTGTGCGTGGTTTTCTCACTCCGCATACTATAGTATGCAGTAGTTATTTTTCAACATCACATTTCAACATTACAAATTTGAAAACAAGTCATCGCGAAAGGGGACAGAAATAAGGGTGAGAGACACGTCGCACTACACTTATTTATAGATATTCACATAAATATATTTACGAGTGCAGACGGTTTTTTTAGATATAATAATATGCTCAGATGATCGCTATCACGTTGTTCAATGTATATATATATATATATATAGGTATACATATATACATTATTACCTATATTATGTTGTGTGATGCGATCGATATCTCGCGGTGGTTCGTGTCGATCCGAACGCGGAAAACGAATTAAAAACACATTTTGCGTGACGTGATAACAACCCGATACATCCATAGTATAATAAAATATATACATAGGTATAGGTAGGTATATTATATTTTATATTTTACAAACGCGGTTGAGAAATCGACGTCGTTCGCCGCGCGTAACGCGTAGTGCATGTATAATTAATAAATTTAATTAACCGTTTAAACTCACGTGTGCACCTATAATATTATCACTATGTTGCAGTGCTCAAAACGGGTGTGTATCATAATATATAACTACGAAATCGCTTGAGGGTTTTTCTCCTCGCAGTACCTACCTAATCATATATCTATAGAAAACTAAAATAAACAATGCGCTCGTGTGCTGCAGGTTATTATATCTCGCAGTATATATACAGATATATACGTATAGTTTTTGGAGTATAAATATATCGAATACGATTTAAGTTAGGTAGGTATGAAAATAAAAAACCAATTCGCCTTTCGGACGTATGTAATATCGTACTTGTATATTGTATATATTTATATTTTATATATATACTTATGATGTATATAATTATATATTATATATACGCGTCGTTAACGGGCACATTAAAAAATGTATGACTGCCACGGTGTTACGTACATAATATAATATTATTAGATATCATAAAGTTAACGACGGTTTAAAAATGCATAAATATTTACTTAACAACTTTTAAAACATCTATGACCATAAAACGTGATATTTTTAACGACCGACGTCGCAATTATATTTCGAACGCGTGCATTACACACACGCGTTAATATAATAATAATAATAATAATACTGTAATAGTAATATACATCTACGGCCACTTAATTATACAAATATAAAAGTATGATCTATAATATAGGTACTAGATTATTGTCTGGGCGGTTGACGACGTTCAATATACGACATACGTATATAGATATACACTTATACCCGCGGAGCAGTAATAGTTATGTGCCATAAATTTCACATAATATTTTGGAAAAAAACAAAATTTGCACCCTCTGTATAATACCGCGCTATAATATTTAGACAAGTTATGATAATATTATTGTATACTACATCGCTGCGCATCCTTATCGCAGTATCTTTGATCATATGAGTTTTGCTGCCGTACATTTTAGGTACATAAATAACCTTTACATAAAATTATTCAATCATTATCTATTCACAAATTAATCTCACATAAACACGACAATTTATTATTATTATAAACCACAGTTCTTAATTATTATTGTATATTTTTCAATATATCGAAATATATTTATTATTTAACACAATTTGCCATTTGGGGGGGTTGGGGAGTTATCACAGGATCACTTACGCGTGAATGCGTACTTGAACAACGTTTTTTCCATACTGCTGCAGGAACAAATTCTAATAGTCAGTTACAAGGCGATATAAACAAAATATATTAATATTGTAAACCTGTACGGCTGTACGGCTCTCTAGATAAACTCTCTTAACCGTAAGTTAAAGGGGTGTACAACGTAAATTATAGTATAAAGTATCTTAAGTACAAAAGATTTACAAGTCCCAAAGACAGTGTTAACTTAATATGAAGTTCTAATAAAAACTTCAATATTTATATTATAACTATACCTACGGTATTCTATTTTTATTTTCTTCCGGAGTTCAATACCTGTACGACTTCCCAGCACCTTAACAACACATTGATTATATACCACGGTTACCGCTGCGTAGACGCAAAAATATATGAAAATATAAGGTTACAAAACTCTTATATGCGTCATGTATAGGATCCATAGTATACAATGTGTATGTATGTGTATAGGTATAAAAACGTACCGGTACTTTTATTATGGAATACAAAAAATTTTTTTTAATTTTTATTAGAGAATATACAATCTATACACAAAGGCATAGTAAAAATATGTGCTACAATAAGTTTGAACATGAATAGGGTGAGGGAAGAAACCATCCAGTGATCGCACTTCCTTTAATACAATATACAATATTATGATTTATACTGCGTAACACTTTTCGTTTCGAATTTCGGGTACTGACGGCCGCCGGACGAGCGTTTAATGGACGCTGTAATTTGTACCGTAAAATACGTCGATTTTCCAAACAGACGATTCGCTTGCGTATCGTAAGTATAAAACCTGCGTTTAATGTCGTATTGTGTCTATTATATTGTATTATGATTTTTTTTCTTGCTGCTCTTTTCCACGCGCTGTCAACGTCTGTTTTCGTGTCGATTTGATATTTTACACGCGTATACCTATTATTGTTTACCAGATACATAATATATTATAACCACAAGGTAAATGCAAGCCGCGACCAGCGGTCACATTTGTCTCGTGAAATCTCTAACCGTTCCGGCTACACCACGCGTGGAGACAAAATGGTTCCGAATGAAACTCGACGGCGGCGCAGG